GAGGGATGGGAAGATCGTGTTTGCATCGGCTTTTAAAATGCTTACTGGGACACCATCAGGGCCTGGACTATAAGATTGACGAAAACGCCGAATCGCAACAGTCACATCCCAGAGAGTGAAAGTTATAGTTTCGAGAACTGCCCCGGTCAATGACTGGATGGTCTGAAGCGGAGTGGTCGAGTCTTCAATAAACGTTTTGGACAGGAAAGCATTGAAGCTCTCCGCGGTTAACTGGGCATCAACTATGGGATTTCCGAGATCGTCTCGAAGAATGGGATACTGCGTCTTTCTCCGAGTTCGTATTTTTCTAGAGAAAAGTTTCGAGACATTTAACGAATGGTTTTCGGTAAAGTGGACCTCTTCGGCTAGCTGTTTTTCTTCAGACAATCTCTCAGCTCGATCAAAAATATCACGAATCAAGGGCAGGACAGAAATATCGTTCTGCAGATGGAAACGACGATTAAGCCTGCGCAATCTGCGACGAAAGGGTAAAGGTAGGAAAATCTCATCCCGAACATTAATGATTTTCTTACGGGGGACAAAACGAGAAATAAGCGCATCCAAAATTTCGTACAGTTTTGCAGTGCAAACATTTACATCCGAACAAAGGAAGAACTCAGTCCAGTCGTAGGAATTAAGGTGTGTTAATAATTCGGTTGAGTGAGTTGATCGGAAATCGCGGAAAAAGTTAAACTTTTGGGACGACATTTCGTCAGCCTCGAATTCCAACGTTGAAACAACTATGTCATGGTCTGAGCCCCCGAGTGGGCGTAGGGATGACACTGACGATGGCAATCAGCCTCTACAGAAAATTAAGTCAAGTATACTTGAGCCTCGGGTGGGAAAATCGACAACCTGAGTCCACATCCCGACATCCACAGCCTCAAGAAAGTCATCGAAACTTCTGGGGCCTGAAGGCGGAGACCAGCGGACTTCAGGGAGATTAAAGTCACCCGCAACCAGTTGATACTTAAAGCTTAAGTCGGCCGCAGCATGAAATGCCTGTGAGAGTAAACGATCAAAATTGTCATTGGCGTTGGGAGGGCGATAGACGCAGCCAATGAGTAAGGAGAACTTATTT